AATACACAATGAGGGTCACAACTCCATGAGGCCCAATAGAGCATATCCAGCAGGCAACACAAGAAATTAAACAGAGAGGGGGAAAATAAAGAAGAGTTAACAACGGAAAAACAACATGACAATGATAAGTCAATACATATCAGGTATAACCGTCAATGTTAACGGCCTCATTTCAAAATCAAAAGAAATAGACTGGAAAAATGTATTAAGAAGCCAAATCCAACAGTACACTATACACAAGACACCTACTTCAAAAAGAAACTCAAAGACTGAAAGTAAAAGGATGGAAACAGTTCTCCATGCAACAGGAACCCGGAAAAAAGCAGGGATAGCTATCCTATATGCAGACAATGTAAAATTCAAACCAAAATTAATTAAGAGAGACAAAGGTCATTACATTCTTATAAAGGAATAATCCAAGAAGAAAAGATGACAATCCTTAATATATATGCACTAAATACTAATGCCCCTAACTATACAAAACAAATATTAAGGGCCATGAAAAAGCAAATAAACATGAATGCACCTGTAGTGGGAGAACTCAATACCCCACTGTCACAAATAGACAGACCATCTAGACAAAAAAATTCAACAATGAAATACTAGAACTGAATGAAGCTTTTGAAGAAATGTACTTAATAGTTTTCTACAGTGTTCCACCCAACAAAATCAGAATATACATTCTTTTCATCTGCACATGGGCCATTCTACAAAATAGACCACATACTAGCTCATAGAATATGTTTAAGTAAATGCAAAGGAATTAATGTTATCCCATGTATATTATCAGAATATGGTGTAGTTAAACTGGAGATCAATAGCCTAAGAAACAGCAAGAACTTCACACTCACATGGAAATTGAATAACACTCTCCTGTACAACCAATGGGTCACAGAGAAAATTAAAGAAGAAATTAAGCAGTTTTTACAAATAAATTATCATGCTGATAAAATATATAGGAATCTATGGGACTCAATGAAAGCAGTTCTACAAGGGAAATTTATAGCAGTGAACGCCCACACTAGGAAAATAGAGCGAGCTCAAATGAACAACATAATGCTGAATCTTAAGTTTCTAGATAAAGAAGAGCAAGACAAATACAAAGTTTGTATAAGGGAGTAATATAGAAATCTCCTCAGATACATGCAAGTATTTGATCTTTGACAAAGGATCCAAAGACATATGCTGGAGAAAAGACAGCCTATTCAACAAGTGGTGTTGAGAAAACAGGTTATCTGTTTGTACAAGAATGGAACTGAGCCCTTATCTCTCAATTTATACTAAATTAAAGTCAAAGTGGATCAAAGATATAAAAACTAGAACAAAAATATTAAACCTTCTGGCAGATAAAATAGGTAAAGCACTCAAAGACTAATGTGTAGGTAAGGGTTTTCAAAACAGAATCTCAATCTCATGAGAAAGAGCAGAAAGAATCAATAAATGGAACTACATCAGACAGCAAAAGAATCAATAGTAGAGTGAAGATACAGTTTTGAGAAAAAAAAATTGCCAGCCACTCTTCAGACACAAGACTAATATCTAGACTATACAAATAATTTAAAAATAATAAATAAATAAAACGCCCTAAATTTAAAGGCCCAGTCAAGGAATGGATAGAAATATGAACAGATACTTCACAAAGGGAAAAATACAAATGGTCAACATATATATGAGAAAACACTCAACAAGTCTGGTCACTAGAGAAATGTAAATTAAAACAACCAAAAGACTGCATCTTACTCTGGAAAGAATGGCAATCACTAGGAAATCAAACTATAATAAATGCTAGCATGGCTGTGGTGGGAAAGGAATCCTCCTGCATTTCTGGTAGGAATTCAAAGTAGTACAACCATTATGGAAATCAGTATGGAGATTTCTCAAAGAACTGAATATGAATTCCATATGACCCAGTTTCCACTGCTAAGTATCTTCCCCAAAGAGTTTAAGTCATCATACCACAGTGATACAGCCATACCAATGTTTGTAGCAGCCCTGTTCATAGTTAAATCCTGGAATCAGCCTGCGTACCCATCATCAGATGACTAGATAATAAAAATGTGGTGTCTATATATAATGGAATACCACTCAGCTATGACACATTTGAAATAGTTGAAGGAAAATGTATGGATCTGGAAAAGGGAATGTTAAGTAAAATAGACACACAATCTGAAGTACTGTGTGGAATCTCTCATTTCTGTGAAGCAAAGTACAAACTAAGAAAATGATAAACATGGATAGCAAGGAGTCACATATTCTTGGTCACAGAAATTTGATGTTCAGATCCATACCAACAGAGAAGAAATACCCTAACAGTACATATGTTTAAGAGACATATGTTATTAGAGACCAAAGAACAAAGAAGAAAACAAGGCTATATTACTGTATCCATGAAAAGGAAAAGCATCCAGGGAAACCAAGGAAAGACTCCCCTTAATCATCCCTCACAGAGCATCAGGGCCTTCGGCTGGCAATGGTTGTAACACTGTGCCCCACTTAGCCTTTCTAGTCCTATATACAGAGTTCACCCAAACGTGGCCTGGTGCTCACAGGCCTGTGTGGTTGGAAGGATCTTTCGCAGCCTGGGCTAGAGCCCAGGAATGCATAGTCCATCAAGTGTTAACAGTTATCTCTATACACTCTTTTCTCAGGAGATAACCTCTCTGCAGAAAGGCAGCAGCCAAGGTCCTTTCAGCAAACACTTGCATTTCCCAGATTGTAATTATCTAATCCCTTTCTCTACCTATAGAAAGGGACAGGAGGGTGGATCTCTTGCAAAGGGGAGGTGATCCAATGGTACAAGGGCAAAAGGTGAGGAGGAGGACAAGGGGAAATAAGAGGAACAAAGATGTGCCATGTACAAGAATCTAACAAGCTCAGTTAATGGAAACACTCTATACTATAACATGAGCTAGTACATATAATGCCAACAAATACCCAAACAGGAACAGGAAATCCCTAGGAGGAGAGGGGTAGAAGGAACGGCAAGGAGATTTTAAAAAAGAAAGACTTTAAGTGAAGCACATGTATAAATACCAAATATTTTCTCTGGTGTGAGAAACTGAAAGTGTAAATAAGGACAAAAATGTATAATAGATAATGTGACATCAAAAGAGATCCAAAGGGGAAGGGAAAGGGGAACTGGGGGAAGGGAAACAAAAGAAGGGAAAAGAAAGAATATGAGAAAGGGAAAAAACAGAAGCAAACTCTTTGTAAATAGAGAGGTGTGGTGTAGTTAAGATGAAGTCAGGCGAATATGGAAAAAGTAGCAACCAATATATATCATGTATAGGTACAAACTCCCAATGATGAATGTCATCATATTGTACACCTAAAATGTACCAATAAATTTCATGAATTAAAAAACGTAAAAACAAAGCTGTAATATGCACATGTAAAAACACACCAAGATGATTCTAAACTACATGAATTATAAACATGTATTAATAAAACCAAAAAATGACATTATGAAAAAAATACCATGCCCTAAAGATCATCACTACAACTTAAGTAAAATTAAAATCTTTCTCCACTCCAATCCAAAGTTTGCATTCTTTTCTGTAAACTAAAATTATATTCTTACTACAAATTCATGTCTAATATTTCATAGTTAAATGACATAGTGGTCACTCCTTTAAAATTTTTCCTGACAGAGTAACTTCCCTTTCCTTTTCACAGTATCTTAAATTCTAAGAATGGCTACATTTAAGTGATTAAAATGGTCAAGCTTAAATAATCTCAGCTTGCATTCAAAGAAATGAGAACACCTGGTTATCTTCAGTTGACACCAGAATTTATAATGCATCATCTTAAACTTTAATCCTTTGTGTAAACTAACACAAAGAATACAAATTCCTGTGATGTTTAACTTGCACGAATGTATTATTTATCTTATTGGTGCAGGAAGAATTCCCAGGAAGTCCTGGTGGCTGCCCCTTACACATCTTTCCTTCCCTGTACAAGTCCTATGTTCCCAACGTGTCTTTTCTCACACATATAATAGCTTCTTCCTCTTCTCAAACACCCAGTCCTTTAAAAAAAAAAAAACTGATATGCTTTCCACAACTCTGTTCTCCTGAGAATTGGCTCTGAAGGATCCAGTAGAAGGAATTCAGATCCATTAACAGCATTCTAACTCCAAAGGAGTCAGGAACTACTGCGGTCTTACTTTTTTAATTACCATGATTAACTTGGTCAGTGGCACATGTGATTTTAAAACAACAATAAGTTACATATGAAATATTTTAACTCTGCCTTTAGGAGACAAAAGCATAGGAAAAACACAAGTTAATGATTTTTTTAAATCAAAGTTAAATTACATAGTAAAAATCCTTGTGTAAGGAAAAATAGGTTAATATTGATAAAATATCACAATGGGAAGGCTTACTGAAATGAAGAGGAAGCTATAAAAGAAACTGACACAAGGCTTCAAGTTTATTATTCAGGATTTCATAAACACAAAGAGACAAAAACCATGCAACTCTCAAGGACAATAGGATTCTTCAATGGAAACATCCTCTTATTTAGTTCCACAATAGGGGGAGGAATATTTACATCTCCTAAGGGGGTATTAAAATATTCCTCACTAAACATTCCTGTCTCCCTGAGTATATGGGCATTTTGTGCCATACTGAGTATGATCAATGCTCTCTGTGCTTCCGAGATCGGGGCCACCTTCCCTAAAAGTGCAGCATTCTATTGTTGCCACAAAAGATATCTTGGATCCTGCATTGCTTTCCTTGGTCTTTGGATCAAACTTTTTTGCTATTTTGTAGGACTGGCTGCACAAAGCTTGTTGCTTGCTAGCTATCTAATTCAGCCTTTCTATGCCCAGTGTCTACCCCCAGAGCTACCAAAGAAATGCCTAGCTTTGGCCATTTTGCGGTCTTTGGGACTTCTGAATATTCGAGGGTTGACAACAGTGTCCTGGTTTCAAACTCTCAGTTCTTTGGTGAAGGTGGCTATTCTCTGTTTCATTTCTCTAACTGGGATTGTGCTGTTAGTGATTGGGAAAAAGGAGAACGTGTCCAGGTTTGAGAATGCTCTAGATGCTGAACTTCCTGGTGCCTCACAAGTTGCAGAAGCCATTCTCCAAGGATATTATTCCTATATGGGATCAACACTTCTGATTGAAATGGCAGGTAAACTCATTTCTTCTTTTCTTTTTTCTCGGGGGGGGGTGAGACATGGTCTTACTATGTAGATGAGACTGACCTGGAACTCACTATGTAGCCCAGGCTGTTCTCAAACTCAGAGTGACCCTTCTGCCTCAGCCTCCCACGTGCTGGGATTACAGGCATGAACCACCACATCCAGCATCATTTCTACACACAATATGCAGTTGCATAAAGCTTTATGCAGAAAAAATGGGAATGTTAAATCTGATTCACTTGCTTTCTGGAGTGAAATGTAAACTGCTCTTTACTGTATAGTCACTATTTAACTGCCATAGTCATTCAAATAGACGATGTAGAATTTAGTATTCTGCAGATATAAAATTTAAGAATTGTAACTAGTCTTTAAATAACCATAGCAAATCCTTTTTACTCTTATATGTTGCAGCATTTGATTCTAGCATTTTGAGGCACTTTGATTAAAGCATTACATGAAAATACATTTGTATAATCATTTATTAAATAAAATTGTCACCAATTTAAGGCTTTTGCTCCATTATACTCATTGCAAAATGTAGTCCAAAATCCAGAACTAACCACAGTCAATAGTTTGATATGAGTCCTCTTCATTATACATGAATTACTTTTATGAAGCACATTGCATATTTTATATATATGTGGCAGTAATAAAAGGCAACTTCCTAATTTTGACTTCATACTATGTCTTGAGAGTACTTCCTATGTTAGTATGTAATGGTCTAGCACATTTTTTTGCCTGCAGCATTTTACCTGCAGCATATTAAGAATTGAAATTCTTTCTAAGTTTTTTCCAACTACAGAGACTGGTACAATGAACATGACCCTGTTTCCATAAACTATGGTTTCTCTGCAGCAGTGCATTTTCTGCTCAGAATATGTTTGCAACAAAATCTGGTGAGAGTTCTCTAGCATTCTGGAATAAATAAAAAATTAATTGGAAAACAACTTACTCTATTTTATTCACAAAAATGATAATGATATAAAATATTAGAGAAGTCATTAAATATTGAATTTTGAAATAATATCTCTGGAAAAAGTGGAAACAAACTTGCCCCTCAAGTAACATTTCTATTGATTTCATGCTTGAAAATTTTATACTATTTTATTACAACTTCTAATGATGCTTCCTGGAAAGATGGTCCAGGTCAATAAGACAATTTGGTCCCTTTTATAGATTATGAAAATTGTGTGAGTGGTTAGATTTTTTTTTTCTTTTTCAAATGGCAAATGTCATGTTGAAATTTCTTAGAATTCAGTTATCTAATTTTAATGTGTATGAATTTTTAAGCAATAATACACTTTAAAAATTCTCTACTACAAATGCATTTGTAAGAGTTATCATGTAGCAATTAGTATGGATAATGATAAGGTATTTGGCTCAAACCCAGCAATAGCAGAGAGATGTATAGACAAGGTGCAACAGTTGGAATTTAAATATCTGCCACAGGCCCAAGAGTCAAAGGCTTGGTCCCTAACTGCTTTCATCAGCTTTCCCCTTATTGGTACAGAATACCAGACACATGCAGCTCAAAGAGAATACATTTCACTTGACTTGTTCTCTCAGAGATTTCAGTACATGGGCTGCTGGATCCAAGGCAGGATCATGTCACAAGGGCATGGTAGAACAAGGCTACTTGGTTCATGGAAGCTGAAAACCAGATTATAGAAACAGAAAGGAAGAGGTCAGTGACCACAGAGTACCCAAGATCACACCTCCTTGACCCATCAAAACAAACCCAAAGACAAACACCTAGATACCTCCTATGTTGAGCCAATCATATTGCCGATGAAACTTAGCAGGTTTTGCTACCTGCTTTGCAAGCACACGGGCCCGAATTTGATCCCTGGTACAAAAAATAATAATAATAAAAAAATTTTAAAAACTTAGCCATCGCACCAATCTATATCACTACATTGCCTTAAAGCTACTTAGCGGTCTTTGTCTCTTTCTTCTCTCTCATTGTACCTGAGCACCATGATGTGAATGGATACCATCCAATACTCACCTGCCATGACATACCATAACACCTGCTGCTCCCAAGTAAAAGGTCAAAACAGTTATGAAGTAAACCTCCAACACTGTGAGCTAAAGAAAACTTTCCTCTTTATAAATTGTTTGTTTCATATGTTTGCTGCAGTAATACAAATTTGACACTACCTAAGGTGATACCAGTTGAAAATATATTTTTCCATTCCCTAGATCAACTTTTTGCTCTGTTGGTCATTTTCTCTGCCATGCAAAAGATTTTTAGTTTAAATCAAAGGTTTTGTTCTTTTTTTGTACTGGGGATTAAACTTGGGTCCTTGTGCCTGTGAGGCAGGTGGTGGAACCACTGAGCTACATCCCTGGCCCTCAAAGGTTTTGTTCTTAAACATATTCAGATATTTTCTATATCTGGAAATTTTCTTTGACTGCCCTCTTAGTGGCCATTTCAGTACCAAGTGTTTTGATTCTCCTCTACAAAATTTACAGAAGTTTCCTTTTATTGTTTTGGTTTGTCAGACGTTATGAAGGAAAATCTACTCCCATGTTTTAAAGTCTCCTGTATCCATCCACATATTCCTTAGGATTTAAGTTGCAAGATCATAATGTAACAACCTTCAAATGAAATGAATATTGTCAAATTGCTCTCACCAGATACCATCTGTAAATTAAGATTTTTCCACTACTTTTCATACTGCCAGTATTTGTCAGACTTTTACATTTTTCTCTGCCATGCCAAATTGTATCCTTTTCTTGCAGCATGTACCTATTCTGACTGTGATTTTTAATTGTATTTCCTTCTACAGTACAGAAGTAATGTATGTGCTCTTTACTTTCTGGCCCATTTGTCTTCATCTATGAATTGATGAATTTATCTTTCTCTTACTCGTTCATGGTAACACTATAGATTCAGGGTTTAATTAATTTTTCTTAGTGTATTTTTCTTACATTACACCCACATCTATGCATGTGAATTTTCACTTTATTCTGGGTGTTTCCTTTTTCTGTTTTGGTAGTTTTTGTTATACACATAGAGACATTTTCCACTTTCAATCAAATTTATTTATTCTCTATGTTTTTATCTTAGTCACATACAAATTCATTCATTCAAACACACATTCATTCATATATTTAGTATATGCTTGATGGCTACTAAACACAAGGTATTGTTTGAAAATGGAAATATAGTAATGAAAAGTAATACACAAAAATAGCATATTTAGGAACTATAATTTTTATTGGCAGAAGAGTGAAAATAAGTAAAAATAAAAACAAAAATAAATATTTAAAAGTGAAAAATTATCAGATACTAAATACTAAAATTTTATATACAAATATGAAGAAATAAATATATAAATACTTATAAACATATATAAATATAGAAATATCTGATAAGTACATGACAGCAAATAAAGCTGGGGAAGAGGAATGGAAAAGCTTCAAGATGCATTTAGTTTTAATTTATTGCATGATGATCAGGGAAAATTTTATGGAGATACATGAGAAAGACTGAGAGCAATAAGGGAGGAATTTTGTACACAGTGTTGTAAAATTATTGGATGTGGAATAACAGCAAGATGAAAAACTTTCAAAGCAACAACAAGACACTGTCTTCACTTTTTGTGCAAAGAACAAGGGCATGAGTGAGACTAGAGGAAGAAGGTAGAAAGCATTACTAAGGGAGGTTTGGAGAAGGAAGGAGTTTGATTCCTGTTCAAATCTTATATAACTTTCAGTATTCACAGATTTCAGTCAGTATTCTGTCTTATTTTTTAAGGACAATTTCTGTATTTTACAATATATGCCTTACAGGGACTTGTATTGGAAAGACTACAAAGCATGCACTACCCACCCTTCCAAAATATGTTCCTTAACAATTATGAAAGTCACATCTTCTTTTCTCTAATTCTCTAGCATGCCACAGTAAAGTCAGATCTCACACACACCACAAAACCCTCTTTTCCAGATATATTTCATTGCTTATTTTTTGAAAATGAGCTACTAATTACTGTGTATGAATATTCCCCTTTAAATTTTTTCCTTAATCTTTATCTTAGTAGCAAAGCAATTTTCAGAGAAGGTAAATAGCATTCTCATTAATGTATATTAGTGACACATAACAGTGAGGTTTATTTAAGGGAGGTGGAGTATGTACATTTAAAATATGTTGTTGTCTTGTTTCTGTTTTATCTTATTACATCCCCTTTCTTCCCTGATTCCTTTCCAAATCACCAAGAGACTCCTTCTACTTTCCTGTCATCTCTTCTTATTTATGTATGTATTTACTTATTTGTGTATTTATTTTATGTTTCTCATATAAGATAAAATATGTAATATTTGACTTTCTGGGTCTAGTTTATTTGGTTTAGCATGATGGCTGCCGATTCCATCTATTTTTCTGTAAATATCTTGATTTCATTCTTCTTTCTGGCTGAATGATATTCCAAATGTATAAATGTCACATTTTCTTTATCCATTCACTTGTTGATAAGCATCTACACTATTTCCCCAGCTTACTTTTCTGAATTGGGTCTCCATAAACCTGAGCATGCACAAAGAAATATAATATGTTGTTCTTAATTCTATTGTAAATATGGAGAGGATGAGTAAGAGCTATCAAATGATATTTTTACTTTACTTATCTGAGATATCTACATACCATTGTCTATAGTGGTTGTATTAGTTTACATTCTCACCAACAATATAGTAAGATTCCTATTTCACACGATTCTCTCCAAGATTTGTTGTTTTGTATACTTAATGATAGACATTCTGACTGGAATGAAATACAATCTTAAGGTAATTTTGATTTATGATTCAAGAATGGTTAAGATGTTGAACTTTTTATTTACTTGTTGGCTATTTGTACTTCTTCTATTGAGAAGTATATATTCAAAAAATAGCTCATGTTATTTGCTTAGAGGATATACCCAACAACCACAACTTCAAGAAGGTGAGCTGAATTTAGCTCAGGTCTCAGAGGCTCAGACCTTGCATGACTACC